TATTTCACTTCAGCACTGCGCCTCCTCTGAGTCTCGTATGGTTTCCTCTTTCCTCCTAGTTGTAGAACTTCCACTCAGCCAGCCTTCCTGTGGTTCTGGATGATGTCCGTTTCATCTTTTAGTTGTATTTTTGAAGTGGTTGTTCGAGGCAGCAAACTCCGGCGTTAACCTATGCCGCCATCTTGGTTCTCCTCGTCCTTTGCATGGAATTCTTAAGTGAGATATTAAAATTTCAATAGGGGAGCTCTAATTTTAAGATGCTTGCGTCCTAGAGAAAAATGAACGGTGTCTTGCTTATTTTTACAACTCTGGCACCTAGCAGAGTTGTTTGTTCAGTGAATTTGTGTGATACATGAATACAGTGAAATAAGCATCTTCATAGAATATGTTTGTTCCTTTCCACTTAAAAACTTCCATATTTCTTCTTTTTCCTGGTGTGGTAGACTGAAAAAGACTTGTGCTTTTTACTTTTCTACACTTCGGTTTTAAATTAGTTAGTAGTGGAGTAAGATTAATCTTGCTGTGTGGTGCACAAGAGGAATTAGACAGGAGAGAGGTTAAAGACATGAAGCTGATTGGAGACTACCACTGCACTTAGATATAGTGATAACGGGAATGGAGCAGGACTTCTGTGAAGCCCCCTCCCACAGCCTAGAGTTGCCTTCTATGTCCTGTGCTATTATAGCACTGAGCCACTCTGCTGGGATGACTTATTCAGTTATCTGTCTCTCCCACGAGACATTGGTCCTTGAGAGCAGAGACTGTGTCCTTGTTGAAAGTATTACAGATGTCCCTCTTCCCCCTCCCATTGACCCCCTCTATCCCGCATCCCTTCAGGAGTCCTGTTCTTTGTATCTCTAGGTCCTAGCCATGTTAGCCAGTGAATAAGTATTTATTGCATGAATCGTTTGCAGCACAGGGAGTATGGTCAGTGATATTGGGATGCGTATGTGTGAGGCCAGGTGGGTACTTGAAGCAGTGGGGGGGCCTACTCTGTAAAGTACATGATTTCCTAACAACTTCGCTGTGCACCTGAAACTAATACAGAATCATATTGAATGTAAACTGTAATTGAAAAATAAATTTTTAAAAATTCATTATATATAACAAAGCACAGATAGTTTATATTAAAGGAGAAGTCCCAGGAGAAATTATTGATATTCTCGTGAAATACTCAATTTATACTATATTATAACATTATCAAATGGCATCTTTTCATTTATGAACTAATTTTATAATGCAGGATAATATTTCTCTTAATTGCTCAGAGAGGGACACCTAGTTTTTATTTTTCTGAGATTTAGTTTCTTTTAGTTAATTAAGTTGCACATTTAAGATTAGATTCTACTGTTATTTCATTGTTCTTTTATTTCTCTGTGGATGACCTATTTACTCCATCTCAGTTTGGTACTAATTTAAAATATTTTAACTAAAAAAATTTCAGATATGTGAAAAAGAAAAGAACTGAATATCATCTATAATAATAAAAGGGTAATATGCTAATTAGACCAGAAGTCCTTCTGGACGACCTTCTGGACAAAGCTGCTGTGGCGGCGGGGGCTGAGACAGAGGCGCCCCTTGCACGAATTTCATGCATCAAGCCTCTAGTTTGAAAATAATGCCCTTGGAGGGAGTTTGAGTTTACCACAGTAAACTTTGTAGAGATCAGATATTTAGTAAAGGGTGGAGCCGGGATTTGAATCCTGATTCTTATAACCTCAAAGCTCTATACCATCCTGCCTTTTCACAATTAAAATTTGCTCTTATGAGTATTTTCATGTGGTTATATTTGATGTATTTCAAGTTCAGAACAACTAAGGATATTACAGTAAGTTCTAAGCAGATAGTGAAAAATAATCAATTTTATTTGTTTGGAGTTGCTGTAATTGATTTTAGGTTTCATTTCCTAATTTAGGAAAATCTAAGACAAGTAAAAGAACAAATAGAAGATCATAAAAAGCGAATAGAGAAGTTGGAGGAGTATACAAAAACATGCATGTGGGTATTGTTAAGGTTTTTGCAGCTGTCATAGTTCAAGGGTCTGGTTTATTTGTGGTATATTCATCAAGTAAATGCTTTCATTGTATCATGTTTTCACTCTCCCAGTGTATATAATAAAAAATTATACTTCAGCACATAAATAAAATATTTAAGTTTTGAAAATATAAATGTTTATCAGGAGTGAAACTTAAAACTCTCTTTTGGTATTAACATTTTAAAATAAAAGTTATGTCATGAAAGCTAGTACAATCTAAGTATTCTCCCACTAAGAATTTTTTAAATTGGCATTTACTTATTAAGCCCATGATGATTGCTCTGGTTATATTGCTCTATCTTTACTTTTTCAATATCCAGAAATATGTACCTTTTGGATCATTAAAGAATGATTAAAATCTCTTTTGCCCAAGTTTGGTGCTAGGTTTATTTTATTGCATTTTTCATCACTTACAATTGATAGAGCACTATTCCATTCCCCTGCAATGCCAGACCTGAGTATATTGTATCTTGTAATTTCTAAATTTTTGTTTTACTTTTTGCTATATAATTTATTTTTGCTATTATTATGTAGGGATTGCTTGAAAGAGAAAAAACAGCAAGAGGAAATACTAGTGGATGAAATTGAAAAAACAAAATCAAGAATTGCGGAAATTAATGAAGAGATGAGTCTTATTAGAAGTGACCTGCAGAATGCTGGGATTGATACCCATGAGGGAAAACGTCAGCAAAAGAGAGCAGAGATTCTGGAAAACCTTAAAAGACTTTACCCAGATGCTGTGGTAATAGAATGCACAGTTAATTTAAACAAAAAGGCTAAGCTTTCTTATTTGGGATTTAAAATGTTATCATTATTTGAAAGAAAAATTATTTCAGAAATCTTTGTTTTATTATTTATTTTTACACTATAGTAAGTATTTGGGGTAAAAATGAAAATAACATCCAGTAGTATCTATAGATAAGTAATTTTGGGGGAGGAACATTTCCATGAACACATTACCAGAAAGTCCAGGTTATGGCCAGTATCCCCAAGGACTTGGTTGCCATGAAGTAGTTTCTCTCCCCAAAGCACACAGCCTCACACCTCTTCCTGTTTTTGTTTTTTTAAATTATATTTTCAATAGACATCATTGATATACTTTTGTAACAATGAACTTTTATTTACTAAATCTGACCTGCATTCAGTTTTGCTAGTATATTTCATTAGCCCAAATACAGCAATATCTAATCTGTTGCTTAGAGTGTCAACTTCACAAAATTATTTCCTTTGGTATTGGGGTCTGGCATTTCACGCTTTGGTCACTAACACCAGTGTTCACTGTCCAGTCCTTATTTCATGATGGCCTGTTTTCAGCATTTGACACTGTTAACCACTTGCACTGTTTTGAAACCCCTGCCCATTGGCTTCTATGATACCAGTCTCATGATTTTCCTCCTATTTCTGGCCACCCCAGCTTCTTCTCCCTTATACCATCCTTTTTTACTTTCTGACTTTTAATTGTTGGTCTTGACTTCAGGATAATGATGAAGGAGTAAGTCTTGGTCACAGAATCCTTCCCCCAGTATCAAACAAAATGACAAAAACTAGTTAAAAAAACAAACAAACTGGCCCTAACCGGTTTGGCTCAGTGGATAGAGCGTCGGCCTGCGGACTGAAGGGTCCCGGGTTTGATTCCAGTCAAGGGCATGTACCTTGGTTGCGGGCACATCCCCAGTGGTGGGTGTGCGGGAGGCAGCTGATTGATGTTTCATTCTCATTGATGTTTCTAGCTCTCTATCCCTCTCCCTTCCTCTCTGTAAGAAATCAATAAAAAGTATTTAAAAAAAAAACAAAACTGGGCTCATATACATCTAATGCCATAAACTTCAGAAAATGGTAATAGTCCAGGATATTTTTTTAAAAATTGAAGTATATCCTTTTAAAGCATTTATTTTTGTTATTGAACTTATTGGGGTTACATTGGTCAATAAAATTATATAGGTTTCAAGTGTACAATTCTACGATACATCATCTGCACATTGCATTGTTTGCTCACCACCCAAAGTTTAGTCTCCTTTCATCACCGTTTATCCCCCTTTTATCCTCTTCCACCTGCCCCCACAGTAATAACCATACTGTTGTCTGTGTCTATGAGGTTTGGTTTTTTGTTTATTTAATCGCTTCACCTGTTTTGCCCAGCCCCTCAGGACCCTCCTCTTTGACAGCTGTCAGTCTGTTCTCTATGTGTCTATCTCTATTTTGTTTGTTTATTTTGTTCATTAGATTCCACTTACAAGTGAAAGCATATGGTATTTGTCTTTCTCTGACTGGCTTATTTCACTTAGCATAGTACTCTCTAGGTCAGCAGTTTTTAATTAGTGTGCTGCAAGAATTTTTAATAGTCAAAGGTGAAAGGAAAAGAAAAAAAAGAGCAGGATACCAAGTATAAACAACAATCATGACCTATCATAAAGAAATTAGTATTCCTGAAGTAGAACCAAGCAAATGAAAAAAGAGTCTAAGACATAAAATTGAATCTTCAGATAGTCTAGGAAGCATTGATATCGTATGGTTGATGTTCTGACATTTTTAAGAAAACTAATTGAATTGAATCTAATCAATTCTTGACCTTCCTTCAGATCTCAAATAGCACTTCTTTGTGGGGAGCCGTCCCTGGCATCTCAGGTCAACCTACATGTAATACATTCTCAGAGTGTTCTGTGCTTTACCACAGTGTCTATTATAAGTCTATTTTGTACATGTGTCTAATAATTAATTATTCATATCTTTCTTCCCTACTAGACAGACAGCTCTGTGAGATCAGAATGTATCTGCTTTGTTCAGTAATGTTTACCCAGTGCCTAGCTCAGTACCTGCATGTGGTGATGAAATGAGGGGTCCTCCTAATTCTTATTTAGTAAATGAGGGAATGGATGAATACCGTTTAATTACTGTGGCTTTGTAAACATATTTTAACACCTTGGTAAGGCTAGCTCCTCCTCATTATTCTTAAGTGAAATATGACATACCTAAATGAATATTTCATAATAAAACTTATGTCCATTTGAATGAGACTCCATGAAAATCTGATGTTTATAATTTTATCAAATTAGTCTTTGGTTTATGCTGCTTTGTTACATTAGAAAACAATGAATTATATGTTCCTCATGAATGTATTTTTTGCTCTCCTCTTTTGAAACCTGCTAAGTTTGGAAGACTACTTGACCTGTGTCATCCTATTCATAAGAAGTACCAGCTGGCTGTTACTAAGCTTTTTGGCCGGTACATAGTCGCCATTATCGTAACCTCTGAAAAAGTAGCGAGAGATTGTATTCGATTTCTGAAGGAGGAAAGAGCCGAACCTGAGACATTCCTTGCTCTAGATTACCTTGATGTAAGAAATTTATAATGTTTAGCATTTAGTAGTGATGAATCTTGTTTAAAGTATGTCTTTATTGCCTAAAACTATGGTAGTGATAGAAAAAATCAGCCTGGATGCCAGCCAGTCGTTCAGATGGCTGGTGTTAATGTATTGGCAGGCCAGGAATAACATCAAGTGGGTGCTGTCCTTTCTGACTTCATACCATTTCTTCCATAGCTGGTTTGCCATAACTCTACCTTGATGCTTTTGAGGACATTGTTTTAGCCTACTAGACAGCAATATTTTTATTCAATAGCAAAGTGTAAGAGATGGATAAGACATAAGGTGTGTCGGAGAAATGCCAACCAGGGTCTCAGTGGTAAATATGCGTCAGTGATCCAGTAAATGTGCATCAGTCTTGGTAGAGCAGGCGAATGTGGAGCCTTGGGGCATGTGTTGAGAGGCCTTGGGGTATCGAGAGTCTGAATCCTGAGGCAGGAACTCTGTCATTGTCAAGATTGATATCCTCTCCCTGGGTGGGCAGCTCAGTTGGTAGAGCATCGCCCCGATCAGTATGCCAAGGTTGCAGGTTCCAGCTCCGGTCAGGGCATTACAAGAAGCAACCAATGAATGCATAAATAAGTGGAACAACAAATCTCTCTCTCTCGTCAATTTTTTTTTTAAGATTTATATCCTTCGTTGATTTTTTTTCGTGGCTACTAAAGAAAATGTTCTGTTGGTCCTGCCTTCCAGAACCTGAACCGAAGGCAGTGGTCAAGAGCACATGCCCTAGACCAGGACTGACCTGAGTATGAATCTCAGCCCTGCTCCTAATTAGCTCTCAGTGATTTTTTTTGAGCGCCACAATGCTGTGCCACTCTTCTGACACACACACATAAAGGTATTATCTCTCACTAGATTTTATGATTTTGAGAGCATGGAGTGCTTATCATGCATTACTTTGTCCCAGCTGGCTAGTGATGGAGTCGAATCTGGAAATTTTATCTTCTGGACTTTGATGAAGTGTATTTTTTTTAATTTAATCCTCACCCAAGGATATTTTTCTTTTTCCTTTTTTTTTTTTTTTTTTTTTTTTTTAGAGAGGGAGTGGGAGAGACAGACAGAAACACATTGGTTGCCTTGAGCCTGCAACCAAGGTATGTGTCCTTGACCGAAATCGAACCTGGACCCTTCCAGTCTGCAGGCTGGTGCCCTATCCACTGAGCAACTGGCTAGGGCTGACGAAGTGTATTTTTAAAAAATAGTACACGAGCCAATGGTGGGATACAGTTTGACAGGTTCTTGTCAAACTTTTATTGTGTATAAGTGTATACTGTTAATCTCTTACTGTCACGCTTATGTATGCTTTTTGAGAAAGAATGTAGAGTACTGTACTTGGTTTTTTATTTTAGTGTATCTAATAAGTGTTTTTTAAACTTTTTAGATCAAGCCAATTAATGAAAGGTTGCGGGAGATTAAAGGCTGTAAAATGGTGATTGATGTCATAAAGACTCAGTTTCCTCAGCTGAAGAAAGTAATTCAGTTTGTGTGTGGAAATGGCCTTGTCTGTGAGACTGTGGAGGAAGCAAGGCGCATTGCCTTCGATGGGCCTGAAAGACGGAAAGTAAGATGCTTAGATTGTACTTTCGGGTAATCTGAAGCAAGATGTATAAGACTAATATATTACACAAATATTAATATATGCTTTCATATGACTTTTAATAAGGAAAACTAACATAGAACCTAAGATGGTTATGGCTTCAATAGTTTTTATAATGCTTAGTTGAGTTTTCAAAAATTCACTTCTGTAGCATTTCCCTATATCATCAATTATATTTTGGAAATTAGATTTATTGTAATAATACCTTCAAGGCAGTTTATTTTTTTTGCTCAGATGCAATATATGTTCTAGCTGAATCTCGATATGCCCTGCATTTAAATGTGTAGTACATGTGTTTCTGAGTATCCGGAAAAATTTAGGTGCTTATTTTATATTCTGGGTTAATTCTTCCATAGTTTAATGGAAGAATTCTTACACATTCAAGGTTTTAACACATTTGAAGTTATAAAATTGGCACAATTAAAATGATTGTACTAAATATCTTTCAAGGAAATTTTGGTTTTAAAAATAAATATTGTCTTAGTCTCAGTTGAATAGAGTGTGTATTTAGTTAACAATGTTTCATTTCTCAGATTATCTGACGTACATTTTCTTAAAACTACTAGTATATCCCTGATGAAGCTTACATAGTGCCGTGGGGCATAAGCCATGAAGCAAAACCATGATGCTGCTTAGGAATTAATTATGTGACTTTAGACAAGTTTCTAAACCTCTGATTTTAGTTTTCTCATCTACAATTGGGGAAATAACAGTACCTATTACATAGAGTTATATGGGTTAAATTAAGTAATAACATTCAAAATACTATAGTGCCTTGCAAATAACTCTCAAGAAATCGTAGTCATTTTTTTATTTACTAGTGAATTAAAATATTTGATCTGGAATGCCCACTATTGCAAGTTAACACAAAACAGGCTATTATTATGAAAGATAGTAATTTTTAGTTTTTTATTGACTGGCTAACATAAATAACTTCTCACATATTTTAGTACTATCAGTAATAATTTTAATGATAATGTGATCACAGTCTTAGGAATCACTGTCATTGATTTCTACATATTAAATTTAAGCAGATGGAATAAATGAGCTACTAAGATATCTTCCTTATTTTGCTACCTAATTAAATATGTTACATTTTATTTTTGTATGTTTGTAAAATATATTTTGTAAAATTGATTTTTGAAGATTTGTGAGGTCATTTTAAAGAACTCACATGAAGACTGTTTATTCCTTCCTTCATTTAACAAATATTAATGGTTTATATCTGTTCACATAAGATGCCTTTCCCCTTTAGGCTACATCTTGTTCTTATCGTTATTTCAAAATTGTAATCAGCTTTGTATTTTGTGTCCTAAGTATATTACAGAGACCTTATCTGCTCCCTGTTATTGTTATGCCACTTCAGGAATTTTCTCTGTGCTTTAGGATATGTAAAACCTTTGACTAGATGTCACATTTTCACAGATATGTCTTCAATTTGTTCTTTTGGTTTTTTATGGATTTCATATCTTTTCATAGACTTGATATCATGTTTAGAATTTTCTTTATTCAAATACTGCAAGTGACATCACCAAATAACATTTTGGTTAGTTTCTAAACAACGTGTAATATATATAAACTACTAATATAAATTATAGTAATTCTGCTAGCTATCATTTGGTCATCAAGATTTTTATGATAATTCAATTTTTTAAATTTTATGTAACAAAATATTTAAATCTGGAATTTCTTTTTTAAATATATTTTTATTGATTTCAGAGAGGAAGGAAGAGGGAGAGATAGAAACATCAATGATGAGAGAGAATGCACGCCCCCTACTGGGGATCAAGCCTCGCAACCCAGGCATGTGCCCTTGACTGAAATTGAACCTGGGACCCTTCAGTCCTCAGGCCAAGGCTCTAGCCGCTGAGCCAAACCAACTAGGGCTGGAATTTACTTAAATACATGTGCTTCCATCTATTCCCTGTCACCAGAAAAACAACAATTATTTGCTTTCTCTTCCAATAGACTGGATGGTTGTTACTTTATATATAGGAAGATCTATTTATACTTTATCTTTTTAATATGGTGTAGCAAAAAGAAAAAAAAAATCCAGAAAAATGTCATTAGCTGGATAATTTGTGAAAAGATCATTTTTTCAAAAAGTGTACACGTTAAACAAGAGAGAATAAAAATGCAAGGTATAGAAAGTTGGAAAACGATACCATCTGGAATAAAATATAGTTGAATCTAGACTTCACACCTTACGTCAGATTTCTTTCCAGGTGGATTAGAAAAGTGCAAAAATTAAACTATAACGGTACTAAGAAAAACCATGGGCATTTTTTCTAAATTGCAGAGAGAGAGAGTAAGGCCTTTGCAATATGATAAAATCCCAAAATCTATGCAAAAGATGGATAAATTCACATAAACATAAAATATTTCTGCATGGCAAAACCCACCATGAATAAAATAAAGACATGGCAACCAGGGAAAATACTTGCAACTCATAGTAAAGATCAAATTTTCCTACAAATTAATCAAAAAATGAATAAAAATAAACATGGACAAAGGATATGAACAAATTTTATAAAAGGAAATATAATTGCTCTTAAATATGAAAACTCATCCTTACTTAAAATATGTGAAATGCCCAATAAAGGTGCACCGAAATAGTATTTTCACCTCAGATTGATCCACATCAAAAAGTTTGACAACACTTCATGGAGAGAGAGGCTCTGCCATTCACTACTGTGATAGTGTGAGTTCGTATCAGCTCTGTGATAGGCAATTCTACCAGTTGTACTTCTTAGGAACTTCACATAGATAAACTCACATGTATGTGAAATGATGTATGCATAAGATTTATTCATTGAGCCAAATATGCCATTGACATGTGATTTCAAAATCTTCAAAAGACAGCATTATATAATGCAAACTATTTGATATTAGATACAAATATCCTTGGTTTTTTCTCAATATTGAATATGTTTGGAACTAATATACAATTTATTTTGAACCTTTTTAATTTCTAATTTGTTGCCTAGAATTGCTTTGAGCCTGAGTAAAACAGGGTTTTGTATTTGTGGTTTATTGGTTGGTGTCTTTTCATATGCTAGATTTATTATGTGGTTTTTCTTATCTAAAAATTCTCAGCTGTAAAAATTGCCTTATTATGTCCTACTTTTATCTTCTTCATGTACATTTCTCCAAGGTAAAATACTTTTAATTTTACAGACAGTGGCTCTTGATGGAACATTATTTTTAAAATCTGGGGTGATCTCTGGAGGTTCAAGTGACTTAAAATACAAGGCTCGATGCTGGGATGAGAAAGAGATAAAGAATTTAAGAGACAGAAGAACCCATCTAATGCAAGAATTAAAGGTAAATCCACATTATAAAAGTTATAGAATACTAAGTAGAATAATTATGTTTTTTAAACTAATTTGCCCTATATTATAACAGACAAAAATAAATTCCAGATAAATCAAACTTTAACAATTTTAATAAGGAGAAAGAGCCATTGTATATGTTTTCTTAAAGTTTAAAATGAATACTGTAGGTTCTGTACTATCAAAGAACTTCTTACAAATTGACATGAATAACGACATTATGATAGAAACACCTGGGCAAAGGATAGGATTAAACAATTCAGAGAAAGAACTCCATATGGCTAGTGCACATGAAACAATGCTCAATATAGAATAGAGTACTCAGATGAATACTAATTAAATTAAGATTACTTCATACCTATCAAAGAGACTTGGAAAAATATCTATGCTGGTGGAGATGTAAAGAAACATGAGCTCATACATTATTTATAGAAATGTAAATTGTTATAGTCTTGGGGAAAGTGCTTGGTACCAGCTATTAAGAACATGAATACCTTTGACCGTCAGTCTCACCCTGGGGAATCGATTGCATGGAAATAGGAGCACCAGTGCTTATAGTAAAGGCAGACACTCAAGGATGTTGTTGCAGCATTGTTTGTGGTCGCAAAACCCTGGAAACAAAGCGAATGCCTCTTGTTTAGGGAATAGTTCAATAATTTTGGTACAGACTCACTCTGGAATAATACGCGGCTATTAAAAGAATGAATTTAGAGATTTATCTAAGTTGACTTTTGTGAGTAACTGAATGAGAGAAGCAAGAGGCAGGAATGCATGTTCAATATGATTCTTAATTTGCAAAATAAGAAGAAAAAAACAGGTAGATATGTATACACATGTTCATGTAAGGCCTTGGAGTAAAATACAGAAGAGCATACACTAGGCAGTTAATTTGGTTGAGTAAAGAGGGTAAGTGAAGGGAGAAGGGAGTGGATGAGGCCAGCAGAAAGGTAAGGGCGCACTAACAGCCAGGCGCGATGCGCCACACGGTCCCATCCATGTGCCTGAGCGGAACCCGCAGTCCCCATCCTCCATTTCCATTCCTGTTTCCTGTCGGGAAGTGTGAGTGACGCTGTAAGTCTGAGGATGCTGTATGGCTTCTCGGTTACTCCAGATGGCTTATGTTCTTAACAGCCCCGAAGCAGGGAAGAGGGAATGTGGCTGTGGCTACCTGTAAAAAGTCAGTGACATTATGACTTATGAAAGCACTTGGAAAAGTGCAAGTGCTTTTTCTGCTGTAAAATGTTCTCATTATGTTTCTTTTCCTCTTTAGGATTTAATGAAGATGCTTCGCAAGGAAGCAGATTTAAAACAAATACAGGCTCTAGTACAAGGAACTCATACACGACTCAAATATTCGCAAAGTGAACTAGAGATGATGAAGAAAAAGCACCTTGCTGCCTTTCAGCGGGTAATAGAGACTTAATAAAACTTTATGGACATTAGAACCAGGACATGGAGTTTCAGGAGTTACATTTCTATAGCACCATGTCATTTTACACTCTGCTTCATGATTTGAGATTATATTATAGTCCTTTAGTTACTTTATTTTTATGGTTGTTAATCTTATACAATTGTACCTGAATTTACCCTACCTCATGGATTCCCCTTTTATTCTAAAAGATACCTATCACATTTTTTGCTTCACTATATAAAGCTAAAATAGCCATGCTAAAAAAGAATTTTTTTTCTTGTAATTAGGAGCAATCTCAGCTACAAAGTGAACTACTAAATATTGACTCTCAGTGTTCCATGTTGAATGATGGAATCAAAAAGTGGCAACAGAGGATTGAAGAATTTCAAGAAAAGATAGACAAGGTCATGAATGATATATTTATTACTAAGTGGCATGTAGAACGTAGCTCTAGACCAGATGCCAGATTTAGAGCTTCTTGAATATGTACTAAGTTTTACTGGTTTGCAAAATCGATTTTCTTGGTCTTTTGAGAACCACTATTGCCCATCTCAGGGGACAATGACCAGTGCATACTTACTCTCTCTGCTCTCCAACCTTTCCTTGCTCATTGTAAAAGTTACCGCCTCTGTCTCTCTCCCACTGCCATTAACATCAGAAAGAAAGAACTTCGTCATTTGAGTTATCAGTTAAGATTACTTATTTAGTCCGGTGGCTCAGTTGGTCGGAGCATCATTCCATACACCAAAAGGTTTCAGGTTCAATCCCCGGTATGGGAGGCAACCAATCTGTGTTTCTCTTACATTGATGTTTCTCTCTCTCTCTCCTTCTCCTCTCCCTTCCACTCTCTATAAAAATCAATAAAACATATCCTTGAGTGAGGATTTTAAACCAAAAAATTTGCTCAGTAATTATTTCTGGAACATTTATTGTATTTGCCAGGCACCGTGGTTGGCTCTGGGGAAACAAAGCTTTGGTCATCTAGCCTCTGCTTCTTAACAGGAACTTTCTGATTTAAATCATTTCCCTGTGGCTTCTCTGTGATCCCTAGAAAGTTGTTCGTCACGCCATCACTCAGTAATTTTCACCCATTGCTTTTAGTTCTACCTTTTATCACGATTTGAAGCCATACTTACGTAGCTCCTTAATGTCTCTTTTCCAGGTTAAGCCAGTTCTGGTAACCATCCTCTTGGGTGCTCTGTTGTTTGTCAATGCCCAGAACAAAGCATAATGTCATAGTACTGTCTGAGCAGGACAGTGCCTGGAGCACCACACAGAGCTGTCACTGCCATGGTTTGGATGGCCTACTGTGTAATCATAGCTCACCATTGCACCATCAGTCACATTCATATTTCATTTTTATTCAACTAAAATCTGAAAGTTTTAAACATGTCTTGCTGTAAAAATAGGTCTGTTTGTTGTATAATTTTACATAAATGCAGGGCTTTAAAAATATTGAAGCTAAATGTTATTTTGTTGGATTTGGCTTATTCTAGTTTTTCCAAATCTTTTTGAGTCTTAATTCTCTTCTCTAGTCAGGCTTTATTCTGCCTAAGACACGGTGGTATTGCTCATAAAAAGAATATTTTATTTATATATAATATTACATATTGGTGTGGCTAATGTAATTGAAATGTTTTTCATTTTAAACACTTCATGAAGCCAAAACTCTTAATAGAACTACTTTTGCGCATTCTTATTTAATTTTTAGAATAAGAAACTTGAAAATAGATGGGTGTAGTTTATGGAGTTGAAGAGCAAGAAAGCACAGGCTCGAAAGAGTACAGTAATGCTTGTTGGGATTAGTTTTTTGCCTAATCCAGGAAATCCTTGGAGAGGAAAATTTAGATTTAAGCATTGTCTGTATACTTTCTTAAAATTAATTATTAAACCAATTGTTTTGAAATCATGTAAAAGGTTGAAGATGATATTTTTCAACACTTCTGTGAAGAAATTGGTGTGGAAAATATTCGTGAATTTGAGAAAAAACATGTTAAACAGCAACAAGAAATTGATCAAAAAAGGTATTTTTGTTTAAAATGTTGTTGAGCATCCCTAACCGGTTTGGCTCAGTGGATAGAGCGTCGGCCTATGGACTGAAAGGTCCCAGGTTCGATTCCGGTCAAGGGCATGTACCTTGGTTGTGGTCACATCCCCAGTTGGGGATGTGCAGGAGGCAGCTGATCGATGTTTCTCTCTATCCCTTTCCCTTCCTCTCTCTCTAAAAATCAATAAAACATATTTTTTTTAAAAAAAAGAATAAAGTCAGGAGAGAAGTAGATCCAATTTAAGGGTATGGTGTTCCAACGACTACTGCTACGGACAACAAGGTCTCAATTCCACTGGAAATAGGGTTGCCAGATTAAGCAAAGAAAAATACACAACACCCAGCTGAAACTGAATGTCAGGTAAACAATGCATAATGTTTTTAGTAGAAGTATGTTCCATGCAATATTTGGGACATACTTCTACTTTAAATATATCTACACTAATAAAAGAGAAAGATGCAAATTGATCGTACCTTTGCAACGCCCACCAGCCAATCAGGAGTCAGTATGCAAATTAACCAAACAAAGATATTGGGTTAATTTGCATACACAGGCACCAAGAGGCCAGGGGCGGGGTGGGACTCAGATGTTCCGCACCGCCCCAGCTGCTCCAGGCCTCTGGGCAGCATGGGAAGGTGGAAAGGCGGCTCAGGCTGGAGGGAAGGTGGTGATGGCAGCCAGGGGAAGGAAGGCCCATTCTTGCACTAATCTTCATGCATCGGGCCTCTAGTATATATATAAATAATTTTGCTCCCATCCCATTGGTTAAAGTTTGCAGCAGTGGAACGGGGAACAAACAGGAGCAGAAAGCAGATTAGTATTGCAGCCAAACCAGGTGCCCTCAGGCTACAGCTGCATACTGCTGGTTGCTGCAGCAACAGCCAGCAAAAATGTAGGCCACTGTGATATTAGTTAGCATATAACAGATGTCTAACTCACCCTACATTGAAATTGCAAAGGGAATTTTTCACATTTTAGAGGGGAAATATGCTCTGAAATTGGTGCCCCTGTTGTCACCTAACTCCATTTGAGTGACAGATGGAAAAGGCCAATTTCCCTTTTTATTGACACCAGCATGTAGTAAACAGAACCACGAAACAACTAATAGTAAGACCAACATGGCATTTCATCACATTTTTAACCTGAGAAAAAGGTGAGCCACACTGTTCAATAAGGGCACACCAAGAAAAGCCACACAATTTCCCACAGCTTTTCTGAAAAATTAGTAAGATCACCATAAGACACTGTTGGGAAATGGATATCACTGCCTAGTATATGTTCACCGTGAATCAATGTGGCAAGCAAATGAGATTCTCTCTGGATCACAATAGAAGTATAGAAGAGCAACCTGGATACTCGGCCTCTCCCAGAAATATATTTTAAAAAAATAAATAAATAAAAATAAAATGTTGTTGAGCAAAGTACACATATATAAATAACTATTATTTCATAATTCAAGGGATGCCTGAGGTATTTATTTCAGTGTATCAAGAAATAGCTAGTAATTACTCATGTTCTTATAAAGAGATCTAGTTCTTTCATTTCATAATTTTTTAAAGAGAACACAAATATGCAAAATAAGAGAATGGGAACATAATAACACAGTGCTTATCAAAAGAATAATAAGACACTAATTTACTTAGTTCTCTGTGAATATTTATATATGTAGATAAAATGATAATTTTCAAGAAATAATATATTACTAAGATCGAAAATTCTAAGGAGGCCAGTTACCATAGGAAAAGAAAGTAAAAAACTTCTACCCACCCCATCCCCAAATTCACCAGGACATATGGTTTCACAGAGGAATCATCCCAGCAACCTTTAAAGACACAGGAAACTTCAACAGTTAATGTTTAAGAAAACCTTCAATAATTACACTGTTTCATAGTACAGAAGAGGGAGAAATGCATCTTTTTATGGAAGTCGAAGTTCTCTTCTAATTCTAGTTTGCTGGAATGTTTTATCAGGAAGGAGTTTTGAGATTGTCAGATACTTTTTCTGCCCTCTATTGAAAGGAGTGTATGGTTGGTTTTGGGGGGGTTGGTTATTAATATTGTAAATGACATTGTTTGACTTTAGAATGTTAAACCAACTTTGCACAACTAGAATGAACCCACTTGGTCTTGTATTATCCTTTTTAAATGTTTTTGGATTTGATTTGCTAAAATTTTGTTAAGTACGTTGCCCTATAGTTTTCTTTCCTTTCAATGTCTTTGTCACGTTTTTGTGTCAGGGTAATGCCAGACCATAAAATTAGTCAGGAAGTGTTCTCCTCTGTATTTTTTTCTGGGAGAGTTTCTTTAGAAGAATATTTCTTACCTAAATGTTTGATAAAACTTGCAAGGAAAGCCCTAGGGCAGCGGTTCTCAACCTGTGGGTCGCGACCCCTTTGGGGGTCAAACGACCCTTTCACAGGGGTCACCTAAGACCATCCTGCATATCAGATATTTACATTACGATTCATAACAGTAGCAACATGACAGTTATGAAGTAGCAACGAAAATAATTTTATGGTTGGGTCACAACATGAGGAACTGTATTTAAGGGGCCAGAAGGTTGAGAACCACTGCCCTAGGGCCATCCACCTTTCTTTGTTGGAAGGTTTTTTTGGTGTTTTTGTTTGTTTGTTTTTGTTAGTCCTCACCTGAGGATGTTTTTTTCCATTGCTTTTTCAGAGAGTAGAAGGGAGGGAGCGGGAGAGAGAGAGAGACACACACAGCGATGTGAGAGAGACACACATCGACTGGTTGACTCCTGCACTTGCCCTGACTGGGGCAGGGAGCGAACTGCAACCCAGGTACATGTCCTCGACCAAGAATAGAAACCGTGACCCTTCGGTGCGCAGGCAGACACTACCACTGGGCCACAAGGGCCAGGGCATGTGGGAAGGTTTTTTAATTACAAATTCCATTTTCTTAATAGATATAGAGCTATTCAGGGTATGGTTTTTCTTGAGTGAGCTTTGGTAGTTTGTGTCTTTCAGGGAATTTGCGTATCATCCAAGTTGTCAAATTCATAAACATAAAGTCATTAATAATATTTCCTTTTATCCATTTTAATGTCTAGGATCTGTACTGATGTTCACGCTTTCATTTCTGATATTGGTGATTTGTCTCCTTTCTTTTCTTCTTAATGTCTAGCAGCTAGCTAGACTCTAGCTAGAAGTGTGTTAATTTTATTGATTTTTTTTCTAAGACCAGTTCTTGGCTTCATTGATTTTCTCTATGGTTTGTCTTTCTATAGTGTTGCTTTCTGCTCTTAACTTTATTTTCTTCTATTTATTTGGGTTTAATTTACTCTTCTTTTTCTAGGTTTTAAGATAGAAGCTTACATTATGTATTTTAGACTTTTCTTCTTTTTATATTAATAAAAGCATTTTAAGCTATATATTTCTCACTAAGTACTGCTAAAGCTACATCATACTACTTCTGGTATGTTGTATTTTCATTTTCATTCTACTCAGAATATTTTCTAATATTCCTTGTGATTTCTTTCTATGACTCATGGGATGTTTAGAAGCATGTTGTTTAACAGATATTGGGCAGATTCAGATATTTTTCTGTTATCGATTTTTATTTTAATTACATGTGATAGGAATAAATTCCACATTGTTTCAGTCTTTTTACATTGACTGAGGCTTGTTTGATTTCTCAGCATGTATTCTATCTTAACAAATGTCCGTGTACACTTGAGAAAAACGTTCATTCTGCTGTTGGATGGGGTGTTCTCTGAGTGGCAGTTGAGTTGGTTCATGTTGCTCGCATCCTCGGCTGTCTAGTTCTCGCAGTCACTGAGGGGAGTGCTGAACTTCCAGCTATGCTTTCAAGCCTGTCAATTTCTCTCAGTTTTTACTTCATGAATTTTTTGGAAATTTTTTTGTCTATTGGGTTTTTTTACACATTGTATACGGGAAACGTATTTATACGTTTTACGTTGACTGGTAAATACAATTTCCAGTGAGTTTTCCAGTATTTGTCTGTTTAAAATTTAAGAAAAATAATTCAGTATACATTTTATAGTAAATCACAAAAAGTTTCATTGAAAAAAAAATATGTAAAACTAAAGTTATTGTAATTTTACTGAATGTTGCCATTTGCGCAAAAAATTAGCAAAAACGGCCCGCATACAATGTGTTTAGAAAGAGAAGGAAAAAAGAGAAACATTAATTTGTGTTCTACTTATTTATGCAGTCATTGATTGACTTTTTGTTGTTTTTAATCCTTTTTGAGGGTATTTTTCCATTGATTTTAGAGAGTGGAAGGGAGAAAATGAGGGAGAGAGAGAAACATTGATGTAAGAGACACACATCGATTGGTTGCCTCCTTCAGGCACCCAACCCCTGACCACGCTGGGAACTGAGCCTGTAACCCAGGTATGTGCCCTTGACTGGGAATCAATCCCATGACCTTTTGGTCCTTGGGCCAATGCTCTAACCACTGAGCAAAGCTGGCCAGGGCCATTGGTTGATTCTTGTATGTTCCCTGACTGACGATTGAACACACAACCTTGCTATATCAGAATGACACTGACCAACTGAGCTACCCGGCCAAGGCTACCTCTTGTATTTTAAAGCCTTGTGATTAGGTGCATATATATTTGGGATTGTTATGTCTTTTTGCTGAATTGATTTGTAAAATGCCCTTCTTTATCCCTGTCATATTCTTTGTTCTGAAGTCTACTTTAATTTCAGTAGATTTTCTTTGTAAAGAATTCTGCCTATTGCTTTTTATTGAGCGTCTCATAAAATGAACCTGGGATTCTGATTGAGATTGCATTGGATTTATAGATTTTTTAAATATTTTTATTAATTTCAGAGAGGAAGGAAGAGGGAGAGAGAGATAGAAACATCCATGATGAGAGAGAATCATGGTGGATCGGCTGCCTCCTGCAAGTACCCCACTGGGGATCGAGCCCACAACCCGGGCATGTGCCCTGGACCAGAATCAAACCTGGGACCTTTCAGTTCACAGGCCGACGCTCTATCTGGCTAGGGCTGGATTTATAGATTTATTTAAGGAGAACATCTTCAGTATATTAAGCCCTCTTACTAAGAACATAGAATGTCTCTTCACTTATTCTGATCATCATATTCTTCATTATAATTTTACAGTTATTTTCCATAGAAATATGAATGTTCTTATTCAGTTAATTTCTAGATTTTTAGTTTTTCTCTCTTGTGAATAGTATCTGTTTGTATGATATTTTTGTGGTTGTCTTGTACTGATGTAGAAAATGGTATTAAATTTTAGATTGTCTAACATCTAATAACTTACTGCTTTTAGTAGATTATCCATTATGTGTCCCAGGATGCCTCTGCCATCCGATCGGAGATGTAGAGCAGGCAGTCACATGGACAGTTAAGAGCTCCTGGGAGAGGTCCAGTCTGCAAGTATAAAGGTGGAAATGATTGGCATACCGATGGCATTTGAGTCATGTGACTGGATCAGATCAAAAGTGAATCAATGTAGGTAGAAAAGAGATCCCAGGCGATGTTAACAAATTGATCAGAAGAGAAGGAACCATTCAAGGAGCAGTGAGTGAGGGGGAAGGAAAGCCAGAGGAGTGTGGAGTCCCACAGCCCAGGAAAGCAGTGTTTCCCTCGTGTGCAGCCTGGATGTCTTCCTGCCGGAGCAGAAATAACCTCAGAGTTTGTTCTCGGCCACTCCTACAGGCAGTGGCTGAGTGCAGGGACTCTGTTGTACCTGCATAATGTGTCCTGCTGGCTCCCTCACTTCCTAAGTGGGTAGCCTGGTGGGAGAGGCTCACCTCTCTGTGCCTTGGTTTGTCAGTTAAATAGGGACAGTGGCATTTATTACCTGTCTCAGAGGGTCAGGCAACTTAAGTGAGTTCATGCAAGAGCGTTTATAACCTGTCATTAAATAGTACTTGTTGTTTTTGTCATTACAGTTGTTTTTGTTGTTGTCTTTGTATCAGTTGTGTCTAGCACAGTATCTGATACACGTAGTGCTTAACATGTTTCTTGAACAAATGACTCTGTTAGCAGGATATTAGACGGGGAGAGGATGGAAAGGATGAACTACTGTGATAGGGGGTTCTTTAGAGGACTTTATCACTCTGGTAAAGTAGGGAGTGCAGGGGGCCGGCTGGAAGAGGTTGGGGGCGGGAAGGAGGACCTGCGTAATACGGTAGTGCATAAGGAAGGAACATGTTCTGAAATTCCAAGTTTGGGAGTTTCTGAATAAATAGCTATTACAAATGACTGACTAAATAAGGATAAGTACAAAATTGTAACTTAAAAGAGAAAAGGGAAGGAAACCTGTATAAAAGACTTAAGAAACATATTGTATGCAATGTATGGCTACTGATTCACACAAACCAGTTTTAAAATAGTGAGACTTGGGAAATTTGCCAGTGATAGCAATTTGATATTTAAGGAATTGCCATCATTTTTATCTGTAATAGTGTATGGTTATGCATTAAAAATCACTTCACTTTCAGAAATACATACTAAAACATTTACAGATGAAATTACATATGTATGAAATTTGCTTCAAGTAATCCAGTGAGGGGAGGGAGTGATGAGTGGGGTCATGTTAGCCATGAATTGATAATTACTAAAGTTGGATGGTAGCTATATGGGAATTCACTATAGTACTCCTCCTGCTTTTGTATTTATTTGAAATTTTCCATAATAAACAGTGAATTGAAGGACTATATTTGCCACTTATAACGTTTGACTTTACTACTCTAGGTTAGAATTTGAAAAACAAAAAACTCGGCTTAATATTCAACTAGAATATAGTCGCAATCAGCTGAAGAAGAAACTGAATAAGATCAACACATTAAAAGAAACTATCCAGAAAGGTAGAGAAGACATTGATAACCTGAAGAAGGTAATTAATAATGAAGTATCTCATCATTAAAATAATTACTTCCTCCATTGAATGCATATTGTTGTGCTCCTAAGTCTTATAGAGGGGTGGGGTGCGGGGGATAGATTTGAGAAATAACTTGAAGTAAAATGGGCACAGCTTCACGCATTATTAGATGTTGGAGTGGGAGAGGAGATGCCACAAATGACTGGTCCTAACTTGGGCAACTGGTGGATAGGAAAAGCAGGTTAAGGAGAGAAAATTCTGGACCTGTGGGGCTTGAGTTATGTGACATCTAGATAGCAATTTCTGTCGGGTAAAGAGCGCATAGATAATGGGAAGGCTGGGCTGGGTTGTGGGGTAAACTGGAACCATATATGAGTGGTTGAGACTCCCAGGCAGAGAGGAAGGCGGTGGAGCAGGGATGGGATTCTGGAATAAGGTCACATAGTACTGCCATGAAGAGAGCCAGAGGGGTGATATCCTTGAAGCCCCAGAGAGTCTGGAAGGAGGAAGTGATGAAAGTAAAATTTATTGATTTAGTTAAAAAAGTATGTCTGTCTAGTTTGCTAATTCAGAGTTCGTAGTAGCATGAACATTTTCCCAGACAATGGGAAGAGAAATCCGGTGGCAGTTAGTGAGGACTGAATCCGAAGTGAAGGACAAAGGCAGGGCCATGATCCCCAATTTCCAGGAAATGTACAGTGAGGGTCCCCTTCCATGAGAGAGACTCAGGAATCACACAGGGTAGGGGTGGATCTCAGAATAACTGGTTTGACTGTATTGATAAGAAGATGAGCTATTTAAAAAAAGAAGAGCTATTGACATTATTGATGTAAAAGATGGTAAATCTACAACGCGAATCATCTCCATCCAGGTTGAAGAAACTTGTCTGCAGGCTGTGGATGAGCTCATGGTGAAGCGGCAGCAACTGCAGGACGCATTTGCCGCCCAGAATTCCAATGTTGAGAAAGCCCACGCTCAAACTGAAGAGGAGCGGAAGAAGTTTTTGGCTGTTGACAGGTAATTAAGAATTTTATCAGATTGAAAGGCCATAACCAGAGTTTTAAAGATGTGTACTATGAATTTGACATTTATTATAGGAAGTTTTATTATTTGAATATGTGTCCTTTGTTACTTGTGGTCCCACATCACACCTTTCAAACATTCTAATTTAGAGGAAAACCAAGAGAGATGCTTAGCTGTTGAGTGAGCAGTTCTTTTAGGCGGATGAAAACATGGAGCTGTATAGAGTCCCTTACCCTACATCCCTCTTGACATTGGAGTTTTCCTGTTGTAGAGTCTCCCTCTAGTCTGTGTGTGTGTCACAGCATAACAGCTGAGGGCTATGACTACATGGCTGCATGTCCCATCTCCGATACTTAAATACTGTGCCCTCATTTCCTCGTCAGTAAAACGGGGAGAATAGTGCCTATCTCAGTAGTAGGACTAAGTGAGTGATTGTTTACATGACTCTCAGAACAGTACCCGGCACCTGATCAGCATGTGTATTTGCCATGATGATGATGATAACACTTTGAATCAGTTGGCTTTGTTGCACTACCATGACATCGACTTCCCATCATGATTGACACAATATTTGAGCCAAACTGATGACAATTGCAGGAAAGTGAAATCTGAACGGATTGAGAAAAATGCTCCAGAAAATAGCGGTTTTACAGCTTATTTTATACATTTGAATCAGAGGAGGAGACATAAGAGCAGGGGTCCTCAAACTTTTTAAACAGGGGGCCAGTTCACTGTCCCTCAGACCATTGGAGGGCCGGACTATAGTTTAAAAAAAAACTATGAACAAATTCCTGTGCACACTGCACATATCTTATTTTGAAGTAAAAAAACAAAACGGGAACAAATACAATATTTGTATTTGCCTGTGGCCCACGGGCCGTAGTTTGAGGACCCCTGCATAAGAGGGTTACATAAAATTCATTGGAGGTAGATTAAGGGCGTAGGAAAAAGCAAAGCAAGGAAATATCTGAGATTAATAAAAAGTCAAAGGAGAGACACATACTTTTACATTGGTGGGTAGAGGGCAGTTCATATTTAACATTTACAACACAGAGATGGTATGTGGGCAACAAGATAACAATGAGGGGTTCGAGGGAGACCAAGATGGCGGCATAGGTAAACACCGGAGACTGCTGCCGCAAACAACCACTTCAAAAATACAACTAAAAGACGGAACGGATATCACCCAGAACCACAGGAAGGCTGGCTGAGGAGAGACTCTTCAACTAGAAGGAAAAATAACAGCACACCGAGGCTCAGAGGAGGCGCAGTGTGGAAAAAACTCAGGTGCGGAGGTGCGCGCGCAAAGCGGGCTGGTGGCTGAGAGCGCGGTTGTCGTTTTCGGTCAGGGGGGAGTCTCAGACTCTGAGCTCCAGATACGGGCGAATCGCTGGGGACTCGGACCCAAACGGGAGAAGCGGGAGTGTCTGGCATCAGTTGGAAGGCAGCTTTCCCTCCGAGGTTTGCAGCGGTTCCGGGGGTTCTGAGAAGCAGAGCCTCTGGGAACAGGACTGAGGGCACCATAACGGCTCCCTCCGCCCGCCCTGTTGAGCCCGCCCCGCCCAAGCCCTGCGCAGAGCCATTTGCCGGATCGCCTCAGGCAAAGGCTAGATTAGCACCTCCCCAGAGGACAGAAGTTTTCCGCGGCAGACACAGCTGATTCACACAGCCAGTCGGCCTGGTGGTCAAATCCCTCTAGTATTAACTACAACAATCAAGGCTCAACTAGAACAAGACTGCGCACAAAGACCACTAGGGGGTGCACCAAGAAAGCATAAAAAATGCGGAGACAAAAAAACATGACAGAAATGGAGGATATAGAGCTAAAAAACGCAATTTTGAGGGCTTGCAATAAACTTTTGGAGAGCCTCACGAAAACTAATGAGACCCTCGATGCTATGATAAAGAAACTAGAAATTAAGCATACACGCTCTGAAATAAAGAATATTACACCCAATAGCAGACCAGAGGAGCGCAAGAATCAAGCCAAAGATTTGAAATGCGAAGAAGCAAAAAACACCCAACCGGAAAAGCAAAATGAAAAAAGAATCCGAAAATACGAAGATAGTGTAAGGAGCCTCTGGGACAGCTTCAAGCGTACCAACATCAGAATAATAGGGGTGCCAGAAGATGAGAGACAGCAAGATATTGAAAACCTATTTGAAGAAATAATGGCAGAAAACTTCCCCCACCTGGTGAAAGAAATGGACTTACAGGTCCAAGAAGCGCAGAGAACCCCAAACAAAAGGAATCCAAAGAGGACCACACCAAGACACATCATAATTAAAATGCCAAGAGCAAAAGACAAAGAGAGAATCTTAAAAGCAGCAAGAGAAAGAAACTCAGTTACCTACAAGGGAATACCCATACGACTGTCAGCTGATTTCTCAACAGAAACTTGGCAGGCCAGAAGGGAATGGCAAGAAATATTCAAAGTGCTGAATACCAAGAACCTACAACCAAGAATACTTTATCCAGCAAAGCTATCATTCAGAATTGAAGGTCAGATAAAGAGCTTCACAGATAAGGAAAAGCTAAAGGAGTTCATCACCACTAAACCAGTATTATACGAAATGCTGAAAGGTATCCTTTAAGAAGAGGAAGAAGAAAAAGGTAAAGATACAAATTGTGAACAACAAACATGCATCTATCAACAAGTGAATCTAAGAACCAAGTGAATAAATAATCTGATGTACAGAATGAACTGGTGATTATAATGAATCAGGGACATAGAAAGGGAATGGACTGACTATTCTTGGGGGGGAAAGGGGAATGGGAGATGCGGGAAGAAACTGGACAAAAATCGTGCACCTATGGATGAGGACAGTGGGTGGGGAGTGGAGTTATGGGGGGGAAAAAAGAGGAACAAATGTAATCTGAACAATAAAGATTTAATAAAAAAAACAATGAGGGGTTCTCTGGTCTCATGCTCTGGTGGGAGATTGTACCCTGAGGGGTCTGGAAAAGGGGAATATTCTGACATTCCAAGGGGGTGCGATCTTAGATGCGAAAACACAACAGACAGGCTCATTTAAGGTAAAGATTGACTTTTGTCAAGGACGCTATAGGCCTCGGTGGTGACTACCTGCCATGATTCCCTGTTCGTTTGGAATTTTATGTTTAGACCATCCTGTATGGTTACTGTAAGGACGGGGGTGGGGTGGGGGGAGCGGGGGAAGGCCTTTCTTTTGCTTTGCTGTGGCCGTCCACAATTTATAAAAAACACCTGGTAATTAAACTCAAGATTATTAGCTCCTCTAATTCAAATAGCCCCTCTATTCAAACTGCAAGACAAGATAAATTACTCTCAAGTCTACTAGTACATTCTTGCATACCCCTCCTTGTTGGTTTGGTTTTTTTACAACTCTGGGATAATTGGTAGAAAGTTCCTTTCCCTCCTCCTCTTCAAACAAGCCTCTTTTAAACTCTTCATAACTTTTGCTCTAAGCATATTTTACAGGCTTTGAGAAAATACTAGTAAGACACCTCCCTAGGACATCTGCCTGGACTGTCTCTTAAAAAACTAACAAAGAGCCACGCCCTGATGCCTGCTCTATTTCAGTCCCCAAATCCTCCTCCCTTGTCACCTAGCAACAGCAGCCAAGGCTTTAAAAAGGGGACCAGCTTTTTGTTCTTTGCCCTCGTCTTGATTAGCAATACACCTGCCCTTTCCCTTCAAAGAAAGTAAAATAAACTTCCTCTCTGCATCGCTTCTTTAAGTTGTGAATTCTTTCACAGCCCGCATAAAACCGTAAGTTACTTTCAGTCTGATTTTGTAAGGCCAGCCATGTAGGCCTTCTCTGAGCTTGTCAGGTTTAGTGTGTGGCCTCTTTTTCATCCACACAAGATAGAAACAAAAAGGTTTTTGTCTAAGATTCTTGATTGCAGTGAAAGTTTGTTTACTCTTGATTTTTTTAAAGTTTAAACAGAACCACATTTTTGTTTGTTGTTATATTCTTGAAAACCATATAATTCTTATTTCATTATTTGGTTCTGTTTCTAGCTTCTCTTTAAAATCATACATTGTTTCAGCTGGTAAAATTTCCAAGGCCTTATTTAAGAGAGAAGGCATGCCTGGCCAGCATGGCTCAGTGGATAGAGCGTCGGCCTGTGGACTGAAGGGTCCCGAGTTTGAGTCCAGTCAAGGGCACATGCCCAGGTTGTGGGCTCAATCCCCAGTAGGGGGTATGCAGGAGGCAGCAGATTGATGATTCTCTCTCCTTATTGATGTTTCTATCTCTTTCCCTCTCCCATCCTCTCTGAAATCAATAAAAAAAATTTTAAAAACTACAGAAGGCATTACATTAGTGGTGGTAGTAAAAAAGTTCAGACTGTTAGCTGTGCAGGGACTTAATTGGCAAGAGATTTCTCTCGCTAAGAGACTTTCTTGGTTTGAGGTTCTAAAATGTAGAGCTTAGCCCTAGCCTTTTGGCTCAGTGGATAGAGCATCAGCCTGAGGCCCAAAGGTCCCGGGTTCGATTCTGGTCAAGGGCATGTACCTCAGTTGCAGGCTCCTCCCTGGTCCAGGCCCTGGTTAGTTAGGGCTTGTGCAGGAGGCAACCAATCGATGTGTTTCTGTCACATCGATGTTTCTCTTTCCCTCTCTCTTCTACTCTTCCTAAAAATCAATGGAAAAAAATATCCTCAGGCAAGGATTAACAAACAAACAAAAAAAGAAATATCCTATATAATAAAAGGCTAATATGCAAATTGACCAAATGGCTATGTCATGCACTGACCACCAGGGGGAAGACTCTCAACGCAGGAGCTGCCCCTGGTGGTCAGTGAGCTCCCACAGGAGGAGTGCCGCTCAGCCAGAAGCCCAGCTCACAGCTGGCAAGCACAGCCACCGTGGCGGGAGCCTCTCCCACTCCACGGCAGTGCTAAGGATGTTGGACTGTGGATGTCCCCCAAGGGGTCCCTGTAAGAGGGCACAGGCCAGGCTGAGGGACCACCCCCCACCCCCGCCAGTGCACAAATCTCATGCACTGGGCCTCTAGTAGAGCGTATATTCAGGGGAAAATGCAGCTTGATTGGGGTGATGAGCACACAGAATAGTTATACAGACGAGTATTATAGAATTGTACACCTGAAAACTATGTAATTCTATTAACCAATGTCACCCCATTAAATTCAGTTAAATACATAAATAGAAATGCAGCTTGAAAATTTGTACAGATTTAGAATTAAAATAAGCAGAAAAAACAGTATTGTTGCTAGCCTGATTGAAGGAAGAATACTCATTATTGAATAGTCTCCCTTGGGTTAACTAATCACATTAGGGTCAGTGAGATCGCTTGAGAACTTACAGCACTCATAGAAAAAAATAATTTCATGTAAGCTTATAACACATTTTTCTTTTTGGTGCAACTTTACATGATGAGTGAAATGTAATCACGTTTTCATATCTGTATTTGCAGGGAAGTGGGAAAACGGCAAAAAGAAGTTGTGATCGTTCAGTCTTCCCTGGAACAGAAACGGCTAGAGAAGCATAATATGCTGCTTGATTGCAAAGTTCAAGACATTGAAATCCTTCTTCTGTTGGGGTCCCTAGATGACATCATTGAAGTAGAGGTATTCTAGCCAGTGGTTTCTGAACGAGTACATTGTGTCGAACTTACTGTCATGTCCTGTGCTGCTTAGTGGGTCCCAGCTCTGCGGACTGTCCCTGTGCTCTGAAGCCCCTCTGCAGGCAGGGAAGACCTCCTCCTTCCAGGACAGAGAGAACCATCCATCATCACTCCCGAGGACCAGGAACTTGGTGCAGTTCTCCCCTGTCTCTTGCTCATCCAGGCCCTTTAGCCCACAGGATGGACCCGAGTTTCTGACCTGTGTAGAGATGCCCAAGAGAAATGGGAGAGTTAACGCTGTTGGAATTTGGGACCTTTGGGGAGGTGCCACAGGGGACTGCAGGCAGCACGCAGGCCACCGCAGGGCAGTTCCCTGCACTCGGTAGCATTGCATGTGCACCTTCACCAGCAACTCAAGGTGGTTCTCACAAGAACATGCCTCACTGAGTCCATGCACGTATGAGAGGGCAGGGGAGCAAGGATGGACCCCCAAGGAATCAGAAGATGAAGCAAGGTCTACTAGTGGACATTGGTTTGCTTTTTTTCTCACTGTATTTGAATCACTCTAGGGTCATTGGAAGTATGCACCCTTAGTTCTGTCTCCCATGTTAGGAAAGGTATGACTGTAGTTCAGAAAGACTATCTTAATATTAGCTAATCCAGAAGATGCCAAAAATAGTTATTTGTTTTGCCCCTCAAGTCATCTCTGAGTTCTTACTATGTTAGTGAACCACTTCTCTGTTCTGCTTCCCACATCCCTCCCCTTCTGCTCTGCCCTCAGACAAAGTCCCTTCGGTTCCATCCAGCCTTCCGCTCCAGAAGAGGCTTCCATCCTTTGGAATCTTCAGAATGAAGCATCTCTAAAACCATACTTCTCTTGCTAACACTGCCCACTCCTTCTAGCATAAATCTGATGGGCTAATATACTCCGAGAGTCTTTTTCTCTATTTTAGCAGAGGTCACATGTTAGACAGGAGGTAAGGAAAGGAGAAAACAAGTTCTGGCCACAAAGGACATACCAGGTGTACCAGTTAATAATGCGGATTTTTTCAATAGATGGAGTTACACATATGTTGATATATATATGCGATTTGATATGTATGCTATTTTGTTGTATTGACAGCAAGCTTCAAAACTTCATATGTCAAACTTTCTGAAGGTGTTAAAATCATAGATATTTTTACGCTTAAAAATGTCAAATTTCGTGCAGAAAAAAGAGCATTTGCGGGAAGTTTTAATTCATTATTTTGAAGGAAAAGTTATCATATACTTCGGGAAGCTTATGGTGAGCATGCTCCATCTCAAGATACTTGTGAACGTTGGTTTAAACGCTTTAAAAGTGATGATTTCAATGTGAAAGACAAAGAACGTCCAGGTCAACCAAAAAAGCTTGAAGACCAACAATTACAAGCATTATTGGATGAAGATGCATTGCAAACTCAAAAACAACTTGCAGAAAGATTAAATGTTGCTCAGCAAACAATTTCCTATCGTTTACACGCAATGGGAAAGATTTTAAAGGAAGGAAAATGGGTGCCACATCAACTGAATGAAACACAAATGGAAAACTGAAGCCATCAGTAAAATGTTGCTTCAACGGCACGAAAGAAAGGTTTTTTTTGCATCAAATTGTGACTGGCGATGAAAAGTGGATTAATCCCAAACGCACAAAATCATGGGTTGATCCAGGTCAACCATTAATATCAACTGCAAGGCCAAATCGCTTTGGAAAGAAGACAATGCTCTGCGTTTGGTGGGATCAGGAAGGTGTGGTGTATTATGAGCTTCTAAAACCAGATGAAACCATTAATACTGATCGCTACTGACAACAAAGAACCAATTTGAACCATGCTTTGATCGTGAAACGACCAGAATGTGCCAGAAGGCACGGCAAAGTAATTTTGCTTCATGATGATGCACCATCACACACTTCAAAACCAGTTAAAGACACGTTAAGAGATCTTGCCTGGGAAGTATTAACCCACCCGCTTTATTCACCAGACCTTGCTCCTTCAGATGACCACTTGTTCTAATCTAGTGGTTCTCAACCTGTGGGTCGAGACCCCTTTGGCAGTCAAACGACCCTTTCACAGGGGTCACCTAAGACCATCCTGCATATCAGATATTTACATTATGATTCATAACAGTAGCAACATTACAGTTATGAAGTAGCAACAAAAATAATTTTATGGTTGGGTCACAACATGAGGAACTGTATTTAAAGGGTCGGAAGGTTGAGAACCACTGTTCTAATCGATGGCACACGCACTTTCTGAGCAGCACTTCAAAACGTATGAAGAAGTTGAGAATTGGGTCTCTGAATGGTTTGCTCAAAACAAGGAAAGTTCTATTGGGACGGTATCCAACAAATTACCTGAAAGATGGGGGAGTTGTGTAGGTAGCGATGGACATTACTTTAAATAAAGCACTTTTGATGTTTCTCTTGAAATGATCGTGTTTTCTTTGATTACAAAACCCACCATTATTAACTGGTACACCTGGTAAACCCACTTCAAATGGCTTTGGGGGTGGGGGAAGTGAATGAATAGGGCTAGAGGGGAAGTGGTCTCATGCATGACTCAGTCCAGGAATTTGAACACCATCAAGAACTCATTCTGGCTCGGCATCTATTGGCTTTATTCTCTCAGGTCAGTTTCCCCATAGGCTGCAGCTGAATCCACGAGCTCTGACCAGAGGGAAGGAAGGCTTTCCTGACCTCAGAAGAGTCCTGGGGAGGAATTCTGGCTCCTTGTGGGTCATGTGTCCACTCTTACGGGTGCAGAGAGGGAAAGGATGGGTCTGCTAGCAGAAGCAGATGGGAAGCAATAGAAAGTCTGTTTAAAGGCAGGGTCATGCCCTAACTGGTTTGGCTCAGTGGATAGAGCATCAGCCTGTGAACTGAAGGGTCCCGGGTTCGATTCCGGTCAAGGGCATGTACCTTGGTTGCGGGCACATCCCCAGTTGGAGGCATGCAGGAGGCAGCTGGTCGATGTTTCTCTCTCATCGATGTTTCTAACTCTCTATCCCTCTCCCTTCCTCTCTATAAAAAAAAAAAATCAAATATATTTAAAAAAAATAAAAATAAAGGCAGGGTCATTTTAGAAGAGGTTCGTTACAGAGCAGGGGAGGAGGAAGCCGACTTAGTGACTGACTGCTGAGTGAGCGCTGTGGGTCCTGTTGCTCTTTCAATTGGTAAACCTCCAGTCATTGTCCACCTTGCCCACCAGGAGTGTGGAGTTATTTACTGCTGTATTAGCTTGAAACACTTTCATGTTCAGTGAGGGGGTATTTTAGAGCAGGTGTGAAGACCTTAAGCTGGACTAATACTGAATTATTATCTAAAAAGAAAAAGGGGTAGTTTTATTCCACTTTGTGCTGGTCAAGCCGCACCGGAGTTCTGCATTCACTTGGTAAAGCATGCTGCTTTGTAAGAGTAACGTGACCAGGGGAGTGAAGAGGCCCAGTGGAAGGTCTTAGCACAGAAGCAGGATCACACGGGCTGTGGTGGAGGCCAGAGTCGGGTTTCTGCAGCTGGGGAGCTTTCTACTAGAAAGATGGGCGGCCTGTCATGGCGAGTCCCTGATTAAAATGTCGTCAGGACGTCTAGTAGTGGCGTGTAATGGGGACGCTGCACAGGTATTCTGTAGAGCCCAGGTTAGCAAAGGCATGCGGCGGAAACCGTCTCTCCAGAGGGTGAGCAGGAGCCCTGGGTCGGAGTGATTGTCCTATACACTGAGGTAGAGCCTGAGGTTGCCCTTCCCCTCGAGGTGTTCAGACGCAGAGAGCGCTACCTGCACCTGCCAGGGTTCTCACAGATTCTCACGTGCGGAGACCACACCAGATCACTGGTTCCGAATCTTTCTGGGGGCCTAAAGCTGCCGGGATCTTGTTGCACAGGAGTCTGCAATTCTCACGGCTGCCGGGTGAGGCTCATGGTGCTGGCCCGATGACCAGGGTTTGAGTAGCAAGTCCCCAGGTGACTCATGGAAGTTGAATACAAATGGAGAGATTCAGTATCACATTTTGTATTCAGGTTCAACTTCTATGTGAACTGTTTTAGCATATATTACATCAAATGTAGGCATAATTCCCAAAATAGTCTCATTTGTTTTTCAGAGAATATCTAGAAAGGAATGGTGACACAGGTTTTCTCTCTTAATTTGTGAATCTTAGTGTTTGGTGTCAGCGTTACACCGACAGGAAGCCTGCAGCTGAATAAGTGCTCGTTTCTGTGTTCCTTCTTTCCTTCCTTCTTTCTCTTCCTTCCTTCAGAGGCTAATACATGTTGAAACTGAAACAAGTGTCACCAGGGGTTGCACTAGGCAGTCACAGTGAACACGTGCCCGAATCCCTTCCTTCACATGCGAGTGGGGGACAGATCGACACACACACAAAATGGTAAACATGAAGCACTCATGTTGGGTGCAGGTCAAAAAAACAAAGCAGGAAAGAGTCGAGAGCATTGGTGGGGGAGGTTTGCATCTTAGATGGAGAGGCCGTTGGTGGCCTAAGCAAAGGTAGTTGGTAGTAGGTGAGTGGCGAAGGGACACAGACATCTTAGGAACGGTTGTCCAGGTGGAGGTCAGTGGGCCGGCCTGGGTGGCTGTGCGCCTGCCCTGTGCGGCCGGAGCAGAGTGGGCGCAGGGAGACGGGCACGGACGGCTGGGGCCAGGCCTGCGTGGCCTTGTGGCATCGTCAAGATTTCCACTTCTACTCCGAGCGGGGTAACAGTCAACTGGAGGTGGGAGCAGACAGATGAGGGGAGACGGCCATTTCCGGTAACAAGGAAAGGTCTCCTGTGTTTTTCAGTTGGGAACTGAAGCGGAAAGCAGCCAGGCCACAATGGACATCTATGAAAGAGAAGCAGCCATTGAGATAGACTACAGCTCCCTGAGAGAGGACTTGAAGGTAATCGGAAGGTTTCCGTTGTCTATGACCAACAGTATATTGAAAATTTAAATAAAGCAGAATAAGTTTTAGTCCATGGAGCGTAAGTGCTGGAGGGGGTCGGTTTCCTAATGGTTTATGAAGAAATCGTGTCGACAGGTTACATTGTAAATGTGTGTATCAGCACCTCTCACAGTGTTTTGTAGGACACTGTACCATGAAACTCTTGCCAAAGAAGAAAGGTTTCTTGGTCACCAGCTTTCTGAAAGGCTACCCCCTTCTTGGAGATTCACCATGAGCATGAAAGTCTTTGAAAAGTCCTGCAGTGGACAAAAGGAGCCAACGTGCTCCGGCATCCCCAGGGCAGTGCCCAGTAGGTGGCGTCCTTCCCAGCTGCGGAGCACAGACCGGGCAGCTCTGTGCTCTGTCACCTGTGGGCGTGTGCGCTCTGCTCTTGGTGTCCTGCTGTCCTGAGGCTGCTGCTCTCAGGAGGGCAAAGCGACTGCAGCCATTGTTGGCTTCCAGCCAAAGCCAGGACCTTCTGGGGGAGAGGCCTTTGCAGTGGCGCTGTTCTTCCATTAAGGAGGCTTTTCCTGCGAAGCTGCAGCAAGTGGCCCCTCATCACAGTGGCCTGAACTGGGACACATGTTCATTCCTGACCAGTCACCTCCCTCCCACCCCCACCCCAGGTACATGGACCCATGAGGGAGAAATGGTCCCGTGGGCTTGCGAGAAAGGCGGAAATGGTGAATGCAGGGATGCAGAGAGCAGTATCCTCCACGGCTTTTCATTTCATGTGTTGTTCATATGTTTTGTTACATTTGTTGGGCTCTGATCGTACTGTGGTATCTTTAGGCAATCAGAAAAAAGCTTTTGTCTTTCCTATAGTAATTTACTCAACGTTTTTCAAATAATTCTTTTCCCAATAAATTGTCATCTTTATTATATATTAACCAACCCCCTCTGAGGGGTGAAGCTCATTTTCCTAGAAGGTCAGGCCTGCACCACCACCTTTTCCCTTTCCTCCTCGCTCAAGCTAGTGCTCTTCGTTGTTTGGCTTTCAGCTTTCGTGATACCCTCCAGGTGGGTGGGATGGCCCTCCCTGCCCCTCAGTCCCTGTGCTGGCCTGCTAGGGGTCCCACATGCTGTAGATGCCGTGTGTGTGTGTGTGTGTGTGTGTGTGTGTGTGTGTGTGTGTGTGAGCTCCTGAAGGGCAAGTTTGTATTGCATCCTTGGTGTCTAATAGATGGTCAGTACTTTTAAAGAAAGAGTAAATGAAGGTGATAGCTGAATTGTTGCTTTCTAGACAGATTAATATGGAGGTGAAGCACATTCCAAGAGAGCAGTGTCTGTAACACCAACTGAAGCCAATGAGAGGGCACAGCCCACTCTGGAGGCCACAAACACTGCCCCTGAATGTCAGCCTGGAGAGGGCCGTATGGGAGGGCGGGCGACAGGGCCAGACCCCACAGGGCTCTGTGCCTGATCCCTTAGCAGTTAGGATCTAGAAGGCGTGCTAATTGTTGCTCTTCGCTGCCAATAACAGGCTCTACAATCTGATAAGGAAGTTGAGGCCCACCTTAAACTCCTTCTGCAACAAGTAGCCTCACAAGAAGATGTCCTGTTGAGGACAGCAGCCCCGAACCTCAGAGCCTTGGAGAACCTAAAGACTGTCCGAGACAAGTTTCAGGAGTCCACAGATGGTGAACTTTAGCAAGATCATACTCATGGGTGTTTGGGTTTTGATTTCCATAACACTTCTCAGCAACCCCACCCTGGATTGTACATTTGTTTTTATTATATGTATATTTTTCTTTGTTGTCTTATATTAATATGTACTTTTAATACTGAATCACTAATTGCTTCCCTTTTGAAAAGTGTTCTGCTTTAATTAAAAAACAAGTTTATTGGTTATTTTCGAACAGGTAATATATTTTATATTAGCATAATAGGCATATTAGATACTGTATTAGAACTTGTCATTATTTTAAAATTCACCCTATCAGAAAAAGGGCTTGTCAGTTGTAAGAGCCATATTCATGGAGTTAATAATTGAGTTATTTTCCATGTAGATTTTATTCAAGACAATCAAAATCTAATTTAAAAAATAATTTATGCTTTAAAGTTGAAGAGAAGTCCCTCCACGGTCTCTACAGTAAACAACACTGATTCTCTCTTAGCTTTTGAGGCCAGCAGAAAGGAAGCCAGAATGTGTAGGCAAGAGTTTGAACAGGTGAAAAAAAGGAGATATGATCTTTTCAGCCAGTGTTTTGAGCACATCTCAGTCTCAATTGATCAAATCTACAAGAAGCTCTGCAGAAACAACAGTGCCCAAGTATGTATCTTTTTACCCTAAAATGTTAGTAAAAACTTTGTTATTGGTAGTGCTTTTTTTCTGATGGGAAACAAATACCCACCACATTATTTGAGTGACCCACTGACAGGACGAAGTCAGCTGATGAAGACTGGTTATCATAATGGCCTGTGCTCGGTCCCCCACTCTAGCATCGCCAGCCTGGACAAGTCCAGATCTCTCTAGTCCTGCTTCTTCACCTGCAGAATGAGTGGGTTCAATCATTTGGTTTCCAAGTTCCCTTTACTTCTGGAATTGTTGTCTGGTCCTAATTTAATTTTCTAGAACTGAAGTGAGGCAGGGTCATGCAGAGGATCTTGGTAAAGGGCTGATCTGGACTTACGAAGGTGACCTGATAACAAAGGGAAGGGAAGAACCAAAGGCCGGATTCCAATCCAGTTATGTCCTTTGTAATGGTGGTTTCTGCTGGAAGTACGCCTTCCTTGTCGAAATCCACAGCAAATACTATGGAGTTGAATGTGGAATAAAGATGTAGATTGGGTCTTAGGTATCTGCTTTTACTCTTTCTCATGATGTTCCTTTATGCCTGGGAGCTGATCCTAGAGTGGATATTTAGAATTTCAACCAGAAATAATTTACTTAGTTTCAGTAAAGCAGGACTATAAAAGTCCCATTAACTCTTTGAGGGCAGGATTCATCTGAGTCTACAGTACGTGGCCCAAAATAGGTGTTCCATAAATGGTTAATGAATGGACCAGTGAGTGAACTGAATGAAGACTTTTTAAAGACTGGCATGTGCTGCTGTGGCTTGAATGGCAGTGTGTGGAAGGCCTGATTCTTCGTGTATGCTGGAATGCTTTTCCTCTTCTCCCACCCAGACAACCCTGTTGCCTGTGACTGCATGTAGAGCTAAATACATTATTTATAGGCATTGATATTTTTCCCAAAAAATGGAGGAAAACCTAACCGATAAAATATTTTTGCAGTTAAGCCTGTTGCAAATCCAAGTTAAAATATACTAATTGCTTTTCTGATTTTGCTAATTAAGTAACATGTGTTTCAGGCATTTCTTAGCCCAGAGAACCCAGAAGAGCCTTACTTGGAGGGAATTGGCTATAACTGTGTGGCCCCAGGCAAACGGTTCATGCCAATGGACAACTTGTCAGGGGGAGAAAAATGTGTGGCAGCTTTGGCGCTCCTGTTCGCTGTGCACAGGTAAGGCCACCGTGAGCTGTGGGGGTTTTGTATCAGCACAGAAACCAATGGACCTCCTACAGCAGGCATGTCGCGCCGCAAGCCTCATTTATTTGGCTCGTGTTAGCCTTTGAGTTTGACATGCTTGTCCTACAGAATCCTGTTAATTGCTTGTCTTTAGTTGTGTTTAGCAGTATGTGAATACAAAACTGTTTTCTCCAGCCAGACAATCCAGGTGATGTTTTACATCTATAACAATTTAGACAGATAATCTAAGAGAAAATTCAGTCTTTAACAGATTTTTATTAAATTTCTATTATCAGTAGCTACTGATATTTTAGATTTATAGAAAGAAGGAAGAAAAATAAATATTTGGAATAGCCAGATGTGACATCAGAATTGCAAGAAGAACAATAACAAACCCCAAGCAAACAAAAACACCCAACTTGTATATTACTTTCCTGGTCCACATTTGGAGATCTGCTGTTTAGTAAAGAATGTTAAGCAAAGTGTTTCTTCTGAAAAAAAAATGTTTCACCTCTCATTTCCACTGATGGTGGCACTGTTCATAAAATCAATCAAGGAAAAGTTAGCCAACATGAAGGCAATTAACTTTCAGCATCCAGAGCACTAGGCGAAGATCTCAGGAGACGATGCTGCCTCTATCTCATGTCAAGAAGAATAGCATGGAAGTTCTGCAGCTGGTTTTTATTGATCTCAAGAAGGAAGAGGAATAGGCCATTACAGGAAAGAAATGCCATTAGTGCAGGGGGCTTAGGGAAAGCCGAGCAGGGTCTAACTGGGAGCTTGTGTTGAGTAAATCTTGCCAGAATAAGATGATTTCTAGGTATCACCCCCCGCCACCACCCCCTTATTCAACAGATAAGCATCATATATTTACTGTGCCAGGTGGTGGTTAGGCATTGGAGAGAGAGCAGAGAACAAAGCAAAATCCGTCTCAAAGATAACTTCATTCTAGGCGGGGAAGACAGTTGATAAATAAGGTGTATTAACAAATGAATTCTCTAATGTGAGACTATGACAAATAGCAAATGCTGTAGGGAGAAAAATTAAAGCAAGGAATGGAGATAGTAGTAGGGAAGGGTTTGCAATATTAAAGAGAGTCATCTGGGAAGGCCTCTTTGAGAAGGTAACAGTTGAGCAAAGATACAAAGGAATTAGGGGAGCAAGAATGTAGACATAACGATCAGCAAGTGCAAAGGCCCTGTACGGCCAGAGTGAGCCTTGCCTCTGTGGAGAAGAGACTGTGCAGCAGCGGCCGGCATGGGTTAAGTCCCTAACCATTAGGGAACTAGTGTTGGACCCGGGTGAGAGCAGAAGGGTCATCAGAGACAAGCATGGGGCATGGAGGAGTCAGGATGGCTCCAGGGGCTCTGGCCTAATCAGCTGGAGTGAAACAGCTGCATTAACTGAGGACAGGGACACCACGGAAGGGATTAGGTTTGGACGGGCAGGTGAGGCGTTTGATTTTGGATGAGTTTGAGCTGTTTATCAGACACCGTGTGGAATCGCTGAGGAAGCTGTTAAATGTGTGCAGTGAGTTCGTGGTTCTCAACCTTGGCTGCACATTAGAGTCACCTGGGAATCTTTTTAAAATCCTGATTTCTGGGCCTCATCCTCCGGAAATTCTGTTTCTTTGTTATGGGGTGAGGCCACAACATTAGTAACAAAGAAA